CATACGTATGTATCTCGCATAACTCAAAAACAAGTAGCCCCAGAACATTGAAATTTTGTATATAGGACTGCTATAACATGTAGATGTGCACCTCGTATTTTGGTTGCAATCAACTGCACCAAACATATATAAATATATTTATATATATATATCCATCTGTTACCCGGCTCAGTGATCTCAGTTTCTTTACTCTTATATGTTTGTAAATTGTGTATTTTTTGTTTAAATGATAGAATTATGTTGCTCTTATCTTCCAGTTAAGGTTTTTATGTCTTTACTAAACCTGCAAGCAATATTTGTACAATTATCAACAATTAAAAGCTGTTTAAGTGCTGTTAAGCTGCTTAAGTTTTAAATAACATAGCAGACATATTTGTTTACGTTTGAAACAGCAGAATTGTAGATTTGTTGCCAATCTAGAGAGACTAAGCTTCGCAACAACAAAGATAATGCCTTCCTTTATTATTGCGAATTAAATAATGCTCGATCCTTTCTGGAATTTTTTCGAGGAAATAAGTGTTATTAAGATTTACTTTGCAATTTTTAATACAGATATTTTGAGTTTTTATTTATTTTTGCCTTGTCGCGAAGTGAGAACTGAATTAATTAAATGAGAAATAGTGAATCATCTGTGAAAAATCATTTCTTTTTTGTTTTGTTTGCTTAATTTCTTTTACACATCGTTCTGGATATATTAGAGTATTTGAATAGACCATGTGGCAACGATTAGGTAATTCTTCAAATCATATCAATTTTGTGCATTCCGAGTTATAACATGAACGAAATATAACACTGTGAAACCTAGTGCCAGAGTGTCGCTATGGTAAACAAATATAGTGAATTCTAAAGTGTGCATTTATTCTATTGTGGTTTATGCGCTATCGACAAAGTAAATTTAATTCAATCCAATAAGTTTAAATGAAATGCAAGGAAAAAAATGCATATAATTTAATATTCCATGCAAGTCGTGGAGTACACATCAGCTTTTTTGCGATAAATTGAACGACATCAATAATTACTTCCAACACTCCCTTTCTTTCAATTGCATTTGTTTTGACAAATCGTCGAAGTTTTTGAGAACAAAGTACTATATATGTCTTTTCCTTTTACACTCATATGTGTTTCTATACATTTATTTTGAATTTTACTCACTTCATGTTCATTCACACATTGTATTACGCCAATCTCTCATTCCTCCATTAGTAAAAGTACTTTAGTTACAGCTGTCAGACTAAAGTAAACAAATGAAGCAGAATATAATCCGTTTGTCTCTTTACAGAAACTCAACCATTTTCTGTTACTTCTGTTAGGAAGACAAAACACTAGATAAGGAAGAAAACGCAAATGCTCTGAAGCTGAAGGTTGGTAGCAATGTTTCCTAATAAATTCTGTCGATCGATCCTGAGCTGCTGAGAGTCTTGCAAATTAGAAAGCTGACAAATAAGAAAAGGGCAATGATTATGTGTTTGTTGTTGCTATGGTAGTATTTTCTATATTTATTGTGCCGTTGTTAGCAGCAACGAATTGTCTTCACATGTGTTAGATTTCTCAGCTTCATATGTTTTTGAAGTGGTGGCCTCTTCTTGGGTTTATGCAGTAATTGCCTTGGGAGAAGGTGCTGTTTTGAAAATCTAGGATACATATTTGTGTGTTTAATTATGGCAAAGCACACTAGGGCTATCTGCCTAAGGGGAGGGATGCCTTTCGTGGAGGACTTTCTAAGGGAAACTGGCTCGTATACACGTTACACATGGGGAAAACCACGAAAACGCCCATGCAGCCAGCCCATTCGCGGGATTCGAACCTCGGACCGAACTACCAGTGTTCAGCGACTTTACCGCTCGGCCGCTGGTGGACTACAGATACATATTTGTGAATTTTGAGCAATGTTTTGTAGAATCCTTCATCACTTTTTGTCTTTTCTCGAAGTTTCTGTGCACCTTCTTTGATTTTTCGTTTATCCATTTTACGTTCTTAAAAAGTAATGAAAAAAAATTCAACTGCAATACTTTTTGTTGTCAACTACAGTGACATAGTAAAATTCGCTACAGTCTTTTTTAATTACAGTTATAATGCAATATTTTCAATTCCACAATATAATTAGAACGTGACTGTACTGTATTTTTATAAATCTACTTTATGACTGTTGACTATAGCTCTGCTCTACCCCTACCCTACAGCCTATAGTTACTGTAGCTCATGCGAATTTGAGCGCGATATGTGGTCCGCACATCCATGACTCCCTCACAAGCAGAACTCTATTGTCGAGTCATCTGTGTCGATTTGATTGTTCGAGTTTCTTGATCAGCCCAAAATCGCTCCGGCCCTGTCGCTCGCCAGCCTTATCCACCACTGTTTGTGATACTTTTCTGTTAAAACTGTACCATGTATTTTTTTCACCAAGCAGGCACATTTTGGATTCTTTCTTTTCTTAACACCAGATGAAATGGAACAAAAATAATGCGGAACATTCACTGATTTCACAACAAAATCCTCTAAAAAGCCAATATGAAGGAAAAACATGGCCTACTTTTTTTTTTTTTTTTCGAGTACGTGAATTAGTTTTTCTCATTTTCTACAATTTTATTGCAATCAATAATTTTTAATGTTAGAACAAGAAAAGGAACTGACATATACTTCTATACTACAATTATTTCAATAAAATAACTTGCAGCTGTTCATTCAAAGCAAACTAATTCACAGAACTCAGTATACTTTTAACTCCTGACACCAAAAGGAAATGTATTATATGGAAGTAAAAAAAGAAATGCATGATCTAACATACCATATCCGTGTTCAAATATCCTTTTCTCCCCCATATCAGAGAAGACAGCATAAACACTTCAGCTTTGAGTCAGATTTTAGCTTGATGCAGTGTTTTTTTAAACACATTTATATATATATTTATGTGTGTGTGTGTGTGTGTGTATATATATATATATATATATGTATATAATGTGAAGAATATCTTTAATAAACAGTATACAGTCAAAAGTCGTTAATTCGGACACCCATAATCCGGTATGATCTATAATCCGGACCTCAAAGCTACAAACTTTCTGCGCATGACGCATGCGCAGAAAGTTTGTAGCTAAAGTTTGTAGTGCGCAGGCGTTTACGCGTGCGCGTAAGACCTTTACGGCAGCGAATATGCGTGTGCGCATGCGCATAACACGTTTACGCATGCGCGTTTAATGTATAACGGATGGTATAAGCTAAGCTAAAATTATCTAATTCAGTTAAATGTTGCAGACTGCATTTTTCCTTAATCTTCGAATTGGATCTGGCTTATTATTTTTTGCAGACTGTTAGAGCAATTTTATAAAAGTAAGCTTGAACTTTCGATTATGTCAAATAGAATTTCCGATACATATTTACTAATATGTAAAGGATCTACAAAGTGAAAGTATGTTTCGAAGTCCATTAAACAGACAGTGGTGTGGTGTGGTGTATTTAATTTTGGCAAAGCCCACTAGGGCTATCTGCCTAAAGGGAGGGATGCCTTCGTGGAGGACTTTCTAAGGGAAACTGGCTCGTATACACGTTACACATGGGGAAAACCACGAAAACACCCATGCAGCCAGCCCGTTCGCGGGATTCGAACCTCGGACCGAACTACCAGTGTTCAGCTTCTTTACCGCTCGGCCGCTGGTGGGTCCTAAACAGACAGTGGAATTGCTGCAAAAAAATGGATAAAGGCATATCCTTCGATTATCTAATCATTCCGAAATATGTTTATCAATTTTACGCTGCTCTGCGGGGGGAGGGAAACGACGCGGCGCGCAATGAATTGGAAGTTGATCTGTCAGCACTATCCTTATCTTCAGGGCAGATGTTTTTATTTTATTTGGCTTATAATTCCTTACTAAATGTAGTATTTCATCTCGATGTACTCCGTCTTTGATATGATTTAAATCAAGTTCCTCGTCATTATAATTCGCTTCCGATAGTGAAGAAAGTGATGCAGAGGTTATTGAAAACGAAAAAATTTTGATTGACAAATTAGTCAGTATTCTCGACTCAGCAATTATAGGACTTGAACAGCGGAACTTTGTAACTAAACAAGAAATTATGTCTGTTTAATAGAATTAAAGAGCAAGTATTATCACATGAAACGAAGCAACTTAAACAACTTGCCTTGAAAGAAATGTTTAATAAAATAAACAAATAAATATTAAGCTTTTTCTTTTTGTCAATTTTGATACCCTTTAGATCATAATTGTTCTTTTATTTCATAAATTATGGTTTCATATTTTTAATTTTATAATTTCTGCATGCCATCTTACCACATTTAAACTGATGATCTATAATCCAGAAAAATCGATAATCCGGAATCGCCAAAGTCCCGACGAGTCCGGATTAACGACTTTTGACTGTAGTTGTTTCTTCTTATTTTAACAAATTCCAAGCCGTGAATTCCATTGCAATAATAGAAAAAATTAGATGAAAAATATGATCATTCGAGTGATGGTTACAAAGGTAACCATTGCCAGCAAAAAGCCAGACGTAACTGACAAAAACATACACAAAAAAGTGTCAAGTAATATGGCTCTTACGTGAAATATACATCAACTTTTTAGCACCAATTTATTCATGTTTTATCAGGGATTACACACTTTAATTTTATGTGATAACAAATTGATAAGTTATTAAAGTTACCTATTTTCATAAATAAAAGTCAATCTATTTACAATGATAAAAACATCAAAACATTAATTTTACAATTATAAAAAAATCCTCAGAAGCGGAGGGAAAATGAAGCTCTCTGAATAAGAACACTTCTTAAAAATGCATTTATATATATATTAATACATTTTGTAACTTTTTTTATTTAAAGCTTTTTTTCCACTTATTAAGACTATACAGGAAACAATGGTAGTTTGATTTTGATTTTTAAATTTTGTACGCTAAAGGTATTTAAAAGTTACATTATATTAATAAAATTTAAATTATGTTACCCCGACCTACTGGCCATAAAAATTACTCTGAACTATACACACTCTTCTGTGCTTATCGACTAGTGCCTGACTGCAACAGGGTTGAAGTGTTCTGGCAGCCTCTGGATGTCCGCTGGCTTCATTTGTTGTAGAGGCCACTCCAGCCTCGCAAGAGCTTCCACTTCCTTGCAGCTTGAGACACTGATTCTGCATATATGCCGGGCTGTGTCAGAAGAGGACGACACCATACTGATAGCAACACTCGTGTTGTTCATGACGCAGTGCTACACTAGAAACAAAAATACTTTAATTATAAAACATGCAATAAAATCCTAATATACATAACTTAAAACTTCAGATCCCACTGAAAAGATCATTATCTACAAATAATGATGCTTACATAAGCAAAATTATATCAAATATATACAGAAGCTAAACACAGTAATTTCTCAATTACATGTCTAAATTGCATATCGATTTTCAGTGGGCCCCTAATATCAAAGACATCATGAAACGATGTAACATTTTCGTTTATGTATCTCAGCCTATATAGCTCTCAAGCATGAATGAATTAGTTTCACTTTGTGTTTTCCCCAGCATTCCTTTTCACTATGTAGATTTTTTAAAGATATCCAATATCTATGATAATCATAATTTTACTCAAAGTTCTTTTTAATCAAGAGTTAAATTTGTTCTGCTTATCAGTGATTGATATCTGCGCAATTTTAAAAACTTCCAATGAATCAGCGAATTACTCCTTTTCTTAAAATTGAATAAGGATTAAAGTAACAATAAAAAAGATGCAAGTTTGATAGGATGGTGAGAGGAGTTATCACTTAATGTTATATTACTGCAAGACATTTTCAATCATTTTGTTTATACATCTTAATTTCAAAAATGGATAAGCATATAGAACAAAACAGAATATAGATTTAACATTATTTCTAAATACTACTGTTGCAACTGCTTACATTTTCTCACTCAAAGAATGAAACCAAAATAATAATTACGATTAAAAAGCTGTCATAGCTGGGCACAGGGAGAAAAATCTTCTAGTTTAGTATATTAAATATTGATAAAAGCATATATAAAAATGCATATGGAAAAATCTGACATATCTAATGTTAAGTCTCATGGATCATAACAAAATGAGCTCCATATTAATGAAACTTCATATCGCATTCTAAAATTTGAATTGCACATAAATACATGATTATGATTTAAAATAATTTCAAATATAAATATATAAATAATAAAGACTTAATTCAATTATAACTGCAGAAAAGCACCTGAGCTTTCAAAATGAGGTATAATTCACAAAATCTTTTCTTAGTGCTCAAAGCTTACTTTGAACACTCTAAAAAAAATCCTATAAATCAACATGCACAACATTCTAAATGCACTTTTTTAAAAAACCTGATTAAAAAATACTGTATTTATATGACATTTATAGCCTAGAATTGCACAATTAGTTATTTTACTATGATAACCTCCTGTCATTATAATGATTTCTTGATTTTCAAAGCAAAATGTTTAAAACAAATAATACTGGACAAATGCAATGCAGCAAAAAAGTGAGCAGCGAGATGAAAATTGACAAAAAATAAATATATAAATAGATGATTTTAATTTTAAAGAAAGATGGGAAAAATATATGCTCACCAGTTGGAAGTAAAACCAACTCTTGCAATAATACAAGAAATAACTCTGAAAGGCACAGATGAAATAGACATCTTAATAGTATCCTGAGAAATGTATGAGCATGAGCTTTCAACCATTTTCTACAATTCATCCTTCAGATGAAGCTCAAGCAGATTAAGCAAAGAATGACCAATCATATATCCCAAACATTCAATTGATGCAAGATCTGGAGATTCTGGCAGCCAATAAAGCAAAAGAGTACCTTGAAAGGCTTACTGCGGAGGATAGTTGATGACTGTTATGTATGGTTGGATATTATCTTGCTGAGGCATTTTAAAAACTACTAAAAGTAGAGAACTGCAACCAGATGCAGCACTTTATCCACATACATATTATCATAACATCATTGATATGAACCAAGTGACCAAGTATCCTTAGCAATGTGATCCCAAACCATGATACTGCATTGTTGAACAGTACGGCATTCAACGAACATAGGAGGAGTAGGTGTGTCACCTCTTTTGTGTTATCATAGCTACCTTAGTAGAAACTTGCCAAATTTTCAGAATGTTGCAAACTTGGGCAACTCTAGTTATGCAACATCACCAATTTTGTATGCAGTCTTTTTATTTATTCCAAGTTTTTTTTATAAACAGTCATGATAGTTTTTGCTTTTAAGCACTTGTGGAATTTGCCAGAAATGGAACAAATTGCAAGTAAAATTTCTACAGAAATACAGAATTTTGCTGCAAGATCTTTAAAGAAAACAATGATGAGACTTTGGGAAATAACTGATGTCACTGGGGTTTGCACGATGCCAGGTTTTAGCAATTCTGCATGTTTTCAAGGAAGAATGGATCATTGTACACTTTGGAAGAAAAATAGTGCAAAAAAGTTACAAAAGGATTAGGAGAACATGTTTTATTTTTTTAATGTATTCCATAATTTAAGAATTAAAATTTGTATTTCAAATTAATAAAGCATGTTTTCTTTTCATATGTTCATAATGTCTGCCAATTTATGATAAATATAGTTTGGGAAACTTTATAAAAATTTCACACAAACAATCAACTTGATAAGTAACTTCTACATTTTCACCATAAAAAATCATGAAATTGCACCAAGGTGGTGCCATTAATACATAGGTACCAACCTGTTTTCATGTCTCCTCAATTCTCTCTAAGCAACTGTCACAAAGGAAACAAATTTAATTCATCACTGTGCCATTCAAGAGGCTGTATCTTGAGACTACAGCAATAATTGGTATATGTGGTTTTGCATAATTAACGATTTTTGTAAAGGGCAGCATGACTGCAAATCACCTTCGACCAATTCTCTAGAAAATGTCCCTGCCGTTACTGGAGCACCTAAAGCTCCTCGCACATTTCACATATTGCTAGTCATGTTTTGTGAAGCTGCCACAACCAAAAACATTCATATTCTTTAATCCTAGTGTACCAATGTTTATCTACGTGGACCCCTAGCACAATTCACATTAACTTCTTCAATCCATGTTCTCCTAATTCTTTGCACAGTAGACACACTCACTGGTGTATTTCAACTGCGATAAGGTACAGGAATCATCTAGTAATTTGTAGACCTAAAACACAACCCTTTGTGAAAACATCTAATAACCAAAACTGATTTTAGCAGTGTCTGCAAGGCAACTAACTGTTCAGCTTCTAAGAAGAAAAACAGCTCAAAAATTGTATTTTTCCCCCCCTATGAGAAACCTAACTCATTGGACATTTTTTTATCATTTAGCTCATTAACTTTTCACATAAAAACTTAGATTTCAGATATTTACATAAATCATTCAAATGCACACTGTTTTGCAGTTTACATTATTATACAACTAAATCTTCATGGGGATGCATTTCCTCCACCAGTAGGGTAAATAAAAATTAAGAATAAATCGCATGACTAAACATAAAGAATCAAGCTGCTTGAAAAGTTAATGTTATTACTTTGGCAAGAGCAATACTGAAATTTATAATATTTTAATATCAAATATAAAATTCAATTTGTTAAATTAAGAAATATCAGACTTCTGAAAATAAATAAGCATTATATTACACATATTACAAGAATATTTATATCAGTGCATATATTCAGTTACCCACCTTTCATTAATATCTAATGATAACCTTCAAAACATATTTTAAACCTATAAAAAAACCTCTCATCAACTATTCATTCTAAACTGATAAATATTTACAGATATAATTCTAAACCACTTCCATGAACAGTTTTTTTTCCTTTAATGACAGATGATGAATGGTGTTTTGAGTTACAAACACTTAAATAATGAAACATGTACTAGGAAAGAAGAAAGTTGATGAGAGGGGAAAGGGTGAAGTTGAAGACAATATACAGAGCAAGAAAGTTACATGAAAGGAAGCTGACAAAGAATAAGACTTTCATATGATTTGTCAAGAAATACACTCATGTCCACAAATTAAGGATAATGCAAAATTGGGCAAAGGAAGAGTTAGAAGCAAAACAAATTTGACTTATTTGTAAAGCTTATTTATTAAACAAAAGGTACAGAGCAAAAAAAAGAGGCTATATGTTTGATATTATTAAAAAAATTAGCGATTTTTTCTCCCTGGAGCAAATTACAAAAAAAAAAAAAAAAAAAAAAAAAAAAAACCTTTTTACAAAAAACCAATATTACATGGTTGGTATGATTGCTAATACATTGTATGTCTCCCAGACGATGCAATACACTCCGTACAACGCCTAGGCATGTTGAGTATCAAATTATCGATCTGATCTTGGGGGATATTATTCCACTCAAAAAGCAATGCTCTCCGAAGCTCCGGTAGACATGTAGGAGGAGGTTGATGGGCTGAAACTCGTCGGGCAAGCATGTCCCACACGTGCTCTACCGGATTCAAGTCCGGTAAGAATGCCGGCCAGTATAATACAGGTGATATCCTCCGATCGAAGGCATTCGCTTACGATTTTTGCACGTGAGGACGGGCGTTGTCATCCATAAACACAAATTGTGCGCGCATGGCGCCCCGAAACAAACGTACATGTTGTTCCAGAATGATGTCCTAATCGATTTGGCTTGTCATGGTTCCAATTTGAACATGCAGGTCAGTTCTGGAACCCAGAATAATTCCACTCCAAACGAGCACTCCTGCACCACCGTAACGGTGTCATTCAATGATGTTTTCTTGGTGGTAACGGTAACCTGGAGCTCTCCATATGAAAGTCCGGCGAGAATCAGACTGCAAGCTAAACCTGGACTCGTCGGAAAACATCTCACAAGCCCACTGTTGAGGTGTCCACAATGCATGCTCTCTACTCCAGGCTAACCGCAGGCGACAGTGAGTTGCAGTACGTGGAACGCATCTGACAGGTCTACGAGTATATAGATCAATCTGCCCTAAGCGTCTGTACATGGTCTGCCTTGAAATTGTCGTACCAGTGGCTGAAGAGGGCTGAAGAGAGCTGACGAGACAGGTCTGAGGTGTGCTCCGCCTGTTTTTTTTTCGCAGTAACTGCCAAATACCGGTTCTCATTCGGCGTTGTAACTCTAAGGCGACCTGTGCTGTAACGTCTACTCACTTTACCATCATCTTGGAATCGTTGCCAAAGTCTGGAGATGACACTCTGGGCAATTCCAAGTTCGTCTGA